ATTTCACCTTCTCTCTCTTTTTGCTTTTCTAGTTGTTTTCGAAGTCTTTGCTCCTTTCGAGTTTTTCGAAGGGTCCGCTCAATCTCAGGGTCAAGGGGTAGWAGAAARGATCTTGTGYTCATGCACTTTAACWTACCCTTGTGAGATAAACGACCAAAAATATAGAACAAAAACGGTGGATGGAAATTACACCCAACAACAATTCACAAAAATAAAAACTAAAATAATTTKAAAATAATTTTAAAACTAAAGTCCCCGGCAACGGCGCCAAAAACCTGACTGGGGTTATGCTGAACGCACGCACTAAGCGTGGTAACAATTCTATAGATRCAAGCRCACACCTGTCAGAGTAATATAAAATGGGTGGAGTATCCAAGTATCGATCCTCAAGGACTTCTAARTAATTTCCAAACTCTRAAGTTTTAATGAATAGTGAACGTTGAAATGAGTGATTCTTGTAAAATGGGAAGTGGTCACAAATAATGGTKTTGGATTTGGGATTTGGTCTTATAATGGTAAAACCTAGCCCGAATTACTTCAAGTTAGCCAACAAAGAATCAAGGATACGCTAAGGACGATATGCATTTTACTTTAGGAACCAACGACTACGCTTTTCACTTGACTTATGTCTAAGCAASTTCAAAGTCCTAAGACATTCCCTAATATGTCTATTATGAGAGATATCTTAGTTTTAGGATGGAAATAGTCGCAACCTCGGGTTAAGGTCCTATGTCTAGGCTACTTAACCGGAACCCTTATGTCTAAGGCGCTCCTCTCCTCGGTTTAACCACTCAACAATGCAAATAAGCAAYCTTTTCATTATTGACTTGTTAAGACTTACAGTGGCCTTCTCTAAATCCTAACTTTTTKGGAAAACATGTTGAGCAATGAGTGGAAAGMAAAAACACTACTTCTTAGCAACCCTTTTTAGAAATAAAAGGCTAACTATCCATAACCGGGCTAGAGACGGGAATTTAGAAAGACATATTGAAGAAAATACAGCAAGTAAAATGGTTGAATTTGAAATGCATRTGTGAAAAACAAAAGTTAACTAACGGAGAGTTTTGCTCGGGATTGAGAGCTTCGCCCTTCTCTTTCAAGCAAGGSGGAGTGTCACGTGCTCTTTCCTCCAAAAMTACAATTCTCTTAACTAAAAATAAAGTAAAGGCAAAGTAAAGATAARCTAAGTGCTGRATTTTTATAAATTTGAATAGGTAGAAAATRACTAAGTAASAATGGAAACAAAACAAAGCTCAATAAAGGAATGTAAAGTGCTCGGGATTTAAAAACTAAAAGCAACTAATGAAAGCAACTCAAAAGTACTTAGAAAGCAACAAAGAAACACTAAGAATGATCAAGAGAAGGAAGCAAGGCTTGATGAATTTGGTGGAGAAGCTGCTGGAATTTATAGSTGTACATAATTGGTTAGGTAGGTCCTAAAACGYTGGTRGATYACCCATTTCCAACTCCTTTGACTGACTAAATCGTGCTCAAACTGATAGTGGAACACTTCTTCTACACGTATGCATCGGTTGGAACCACCAAAACGCATTGGAASACGCGTTTCATTAMGGGCAAAGTTGGAAGAAAACCAATTTTTCTGCARCCTACCAGGCGTCTGGCGCCTCCAATGAAGGGTTTTYCGTCWTTTTGCTTCTTTTGATTAATTTKCACTCCCAAATGGTCCTAAAATGTCATAAATACAATATAAGCCAACCACAAACCATCATATATGAATTTTGCATGAATTGGAACTCAAACGACCGAGAAAAAGTCCGAAACAAAGTTAAAACATAGTAAAAACAGCATCTAAAACYTTCTTTTTACGCATGTARACAAGCGTAATCAYGRACCCCCTACCTTTGACGGAGGAAGCGAGAAAGCGACAGWAGCAAAAGAGTGGGTCAGAGAGTTGGAAGCTCTTTACGCGTGTCTAGGTTGCGATGACCARTTCAAGGTTAAGGGTGCGGTTTTTATGTTGAGGGGTGAAGCCCTGAATTGATGGGATTCAGTAGCAGCGGCAGAAGACCATGCTAATGTACCGGTCACGTCGGCGAAGTTCAAGGACTTGTTGTATGACTRCTATTTCCYAGAGATTGTGAAAAATCCAAAGRAGGTAGAGTTCCTCCATCTCACCCAAGGAACCTTAATGGTAGCACAATATGAAAGAAAGTTTATGGAACTCTATCGTTATGCTATGGAATTAATTCCCACSGAGGCAGTGAAGATCAAGAGGTTTGTTAAAGGCTTGCGCAAGGGGATTAAAGGACCAGTGGAACTTTAGCAGCCAGCCGTTAAAGGCTTGCRCAAGGGGATCAGAGGACCAGTGGAACTTTAGCAGCCAACCACCTACGCAAAAGCAGTTAGGGGCGCCTTAATTATGGATAATGATGTCTTTAACAAGGCCCAACCTCTACTGGAAGTCAGTTCATCTTCAGGTGTGAAAAAAGGTCTCTCTGATTTATGC